CACACAACGTAGGTTCTCATTTGTTAGACGATCACAGCCAAGGCCAAACTTTGAATTTTTGAATTTTTCGCGGGCCTTTCAAACTGTTTCAAGGTCAATTTTTAAGGCGGGAAGTTTGGGTTATCACAATACTCAGGAAGATTATTCTGTACAAAGTCAGGAAGATTAAAGTCACCCACAATGACAATATCTGCACCTACAATAAAATCTAGTGAACCAAAAGCTTCAAAAAATATCTGATACAATTTAACAGGTTGTGCAGGTGGAACATACAATAGAAAAATGTAAAAGAAATACGAATCATTACAAACTTTCCCGCAAATAATATCCATTTGAGTAAGAGAACTAAACAAAGTGTTATCAAGGTTGATTTTTTCAAAGGCAATATCAGACTTAAATGCAAGCAGAACACTCCCACCTCTAGATGTATCCGTGGCTAAAAAAATTCTATCTTTTCTCACCACATTGTAGTCAGAACTAAATAATTCACAATTACTAACATTTTCATTTAGCCAGGTTTCAGTGAGCCTAATAATATCAAAATTTATCGTGTACACACTATTGAAAAATGAAACAGTTTTGCTATTTAAACCGCGCGTGTTTTGATAATACAATACTAATTATCGATCTGAAAAAGTCTCAGCAGTTGAATTGAGTAGTCATTGTTTAAATAGCAAATCGTTTTTAAATTTTACAACTGCACGCTGATATATTGGACAGTTTACATCCCATGCAGCATGTTCTGGATTTATATTGGTTTCACCACTTTCAATAGCAGTTATACAGTTAATTGCTCACCTTTACACTCAGACAACGCATGCACCTGATCACCAACCGATGCACACCTGGGACAGGACTTAATAGCTTTACAGTATTGAACTGTGGTGAAAACCGTTACATTTGTAACAACGTAAAATTTCGATTGCATCAAAAACACTGCAGTGATCATAACCGACAAAGAGGCCTCCTAAGTTCATAACGGTGTCATACGATTTTCGATCCAGTTGGACGATTGCCTGGTATATTTTAGGGTTCTTCTTTGTATGCCAAAACTTGATGATAGAACATTCTGATCGAAGATTTATATCAGTCGTATTGCTCCTGATTGCATGATCAATGTCCCAAGCAGCAGACTGTCGTCTAGTGCACGTCAATTTTTGGTCATAACTCGTCGGCGACATCATTCGCCCAAAAAATCACGTGAAAATTACGAGATTTTTATCACTTACTTCTGACGTCAATTAATGACGTCAAAAGGCCGTCCTTCGTCATTTTTTATAGATTATATAATCAATTAGATGTGGGTCGTCGTATTCTTTAAAAAGTGGCCTTCATAATGCTTAATTATATTTAGAGCAAAAGATACAACGGCTTAATTAGAAATACACCAAAGACAAGTTTTTTCATTCTAATAATTTCTAATAAAATAATTATTTCTGAAAACTTGTTTACTCTGCAAGTGTTATTTTGTAAGTACCTGCTTGGCAAATTATAAATAGAACATCTGGGGTTGAGCGAAAAGACCCAACGACACAAACAAAGCCATAAAAATTCTTTGTCCATTGTCCCTAAAACGGGCCAAGGTTTTGAAGAATTCCTTCGTCGAATTTTGATTTTATAAAGACGTTTATAAAGTGATGACGGGTACCAAAAAAATTCGAGAGTGATTAATATTCAGTTTTATTAAATTTATTCTTATCCGTATTTACTACACAATACATCAGATGTTTGGGGTGTGCATTCGGACTTTCCCTTTTTTCGGTATTTATGTTTATTGCACTTCACAGAGAAGCATTCCAATATTTCCAGTTGGTTCTCAACCACCGAAACTTTGTCGTGTATCTGTTACTCACTTCATTTTTAACGCAGTGTGGGTTGTACTTATTTATACTAGGTAAGTTAATATCTAATAAAGTAATCATTTTAATTTTTACGTGTTTCTGTTATTTTTGATAACTGTACGTAGATAACAAAAGCAGTTTTTTCAGATAAGCTGGAAAGACCACCATTAATCAGTTAATTACTGAAGATACTCTCACTGATTATGAAGAAATTACGGTGATTGTTTTTGAAAATGAGGCGCTATAAAATATTGCAAAGGTATGTTATACGACACGGCCTAAATTTAGTAGCTAAATTTTCGCTTTAAATAACTCCTTCTAACAAACATGCACTCCAACAAAGCTAATTATTATCTGCTGGTAATTAAGCCTGCTATCATACCTGCCGGATTAGAAATCAATGCAAGACCAAACAGAAAACAATTTCAAATTATAAAAGAAACTCAAAAAACTTTATTACATGCAGCAAAGGTAGGTGTTTAGAATACAACAGTCAAAATATTCTGTTTTTCTGGCACGTGTAACATGACCCTACAGAAATCCATGCCCACATGTTGACAAATGTTTCGCTTTGTTGACATGTTTGAAGATTACATCGTATGTTTTGAGACCTGCATACTTTTAAGTTGCCATTTGGCAAGACTGAAGAAAGATTTTGTCGTTTGAGAAAATAACTGCAACACTCTTCAACCTACACGAGTTGTAAAACAAACCCAATCTCTATACTGTATGGTTTTCAAGTCCTCGTTCCCTAATGCGTCGTCGGGCAGTTCTTGCTGATGATCTGCAGCTTCAATTGCAGTTGTAAATGGCATGTCTTCCACAACTTGAACGACCGCATGATTTTCACCAACCGTGGTAATGCGACGGCGACGTGGCGATACTTACCTGAATGGGGATCAAGTTGCTCGCCTTTTCTCCACTTTTTTATACGATAACTAACACTAGTCCACGATAAGCCCAAAAGTGTAGCCACATCCCGTCTTGGAAAAGGGATATTATTTTACCTTCATTAAAATAACTAATCGATGGCAGGTTCGGAGCTAAATTAAATCTGACAATACTTACGTCAGTCATCATGATAATTCATCATGACAATAAAGCACCGACTACAGTGAATTTTTGTGAATTCGCGTGAATTGTGTGGACGAAATTCACTGTTCGCGACTGTACCTCTTGGACAGACCATAATCTTTATACTAGTCGGCCATGATTCTGAATATACCTTCAGGTACAGTTTTTTTGATTTTTCTGGAAGTAACTGTTCTTCCATGCTTAGTGCCGCCTCTTTTATTTCAGGAGGGGTACATGACGGTTCACTTTCCAACATTTTTCACAGAAAAAAATATTTAAAACTGGAAATATGGAGGAAATTGAAACAAAAGTTTTGGACTGTCAAAAAATAACAAAATTCCAAAGCTTACTAAAATGACGTGAGTACACGTTTTTATTGATGCACATCAGAAAAAACATTTTGAAAATTTGCAAACCTCAAATGGGCTACTAGTGAAAAAATAGTATATTAACCACGTTTGTGAAGCCAATTCTAGACCTCGCGCTTTATAGTCCTCGACGCTGCGCGTCTCGGGTTCTGATTTGCGCTCGGTCTAGAATGACTGCATTCACAACCTTGGTTAATAATATACTATTTTCTGTGACACAATGATAAATTCTTCCTTCCTTTTCAACATTTTTAACAGTATTTTTACAAATTATCATTATTACCTAACTTCACAATTCACAGTTTAAGAGAACAAGTTGCTTTTATTGCGCATGCCCAATTATACCAAACTGCCCATCCCGTGCTAATTTTGGCTACAAATTGCACGTATTCTGAATGATTAAAACCTGGTTCCCGTAACGCTTACTTTGTGTTGAAATGCTTTGTACAAATTATATCATTGTGAATATCGCTTTAAAGGTCTGGTCCTTTGAACAGGTTTGCTTGGATCATAGTCCTAAGTTAGCCTTTTTTTGTGTTCTTTTCCTATTTTCAGTCATGTTTTTGTACGACAGGCGATAAATTTGTATGGTACCCCATCTTTCGCAGACTTTGTAGAGCTGATTTAAAATAATATACTTACTATTAGTAAGTCTTCTATGTTACCCATCGAGGCTATCACATTTATTATAGGTGTTGAAACTTGATTTTGCGATATTTGTTTCATGTTAACCTCGATAAAGTAAAAACGAGTGGCGTAAATAACAACTCCACAGCCCTCGCGCCGCGGGGGTTAAATTCCAAGGGGGAGCTGTCCGAACAGCGGGAAAAAAATGTATTCTCAGAACATACTTAACTTCGACTATTTATTTTTATACTTCGAAAAAATACGGTTATTTGCATGTTCAAACATCAGTGACAGCATGCATTTCTGTTGAAAGAAAATGAAATTGATTGATTTTGTCTCCTTAACAGAAAGAAGAGGGCTAATTATAATTAATTAAGCACAACATTTTTTTAACAAGATGTCTGTCGTTAACACTCAGAAATTTAAGGAACGGGGAAATCGTAAGATGACATCGTCATTTTTTGAAGGAGCATAAACGGACAAATTTTGATTAACGGTTTACCATAAAATGTTTTCGATAATCTTATTTTAAATTTCACAGCGTTCAGTCTTCCAATTTAAAAGTTAAAATGTAAAATGTTGTTATACACTTCTGATTTTTTCCCAAAAATCTGGATACCTAGGGTAAAAACTCAACATGAGTTCACAAATCCCATATGCATAAGTATGTATGTTATCTTATAAAATTTAAAAGATATTTATTCAGCAAAATTATAAAATGACGTCATCACTTTGGTGGGGCTTTTTTTTCTACAAAATATTTAAATAATATTGTAAATTTTGGAGATGATTAGGCAAATTTTGGTTAGTTTTACCATCTACAGGATATTCCTAAAACACATACAAAAAAAAGACGACAATGGGTCCAGTAGTTTCGGCAATTATCTGTCTAATATATATCGTCACAAACAGACAGACAGCTAGACGACAGGCAGACAAATGACAGAAAGACGGAAAAACGAGAATTAGTTTTTCGTACTCGAGGAGTCATGAATAATCGAGCAAAACATAAAAGCAGCTATTCGTTGCATGGGCCCTATTACGATACTTTGTAAGCTTAACCTTGAGAAGTAAAAATAAATATAAACCATTTCCGTTAAATTATTTTATTGTTAAAATATAGTGGTACAATATTTTTTTATCTACCTTGTTCGCGAAACCTTTAGCTTTTCTTGACTAATTTTTTAATTCGGCTAGCGCCTGGTATCACTTCGCACACTAGCTACATAAATAACTATTGCAGAATCGTAAAATTCATTAAACAAAAAATAAAAAGATTGCTGGGTATGTAATATCTACATTGAGTGCGAGATACGACAATTGAACCTGAGTTTCAAAATCATTTTTATGTAATCTCATTGTTAACATTACCTTTCATGATGGCGTTGATAACAATAATATTAGAGGACCTTTCTTGTAAAAGTGTTGCAGAACTTTACGATAGCTTGAAAGTGCCGTGTTGATAAAAAAACATACATATTATCACAGAACAATGAAGTTCATTTGTTACTTTTTAATTGTACTTCCTAGAAACAAGTCTTTTAAAATATTTACAATGCTAGTCGCATAAGATTATTGTTATTGAACTCGGTTTTGGGTACCTGTATTATGAATTCATAACATCTAGTAATTATACAGTATATAATCGCGGCCAGAAAATCTTGGACGTCATTTTTCTGTCACGTTGACGTTTGCAGTTTGGAAGATTATCAATTTTCCTATCACATTGCATCCAGTGTTAGTATGTATGTAATATGAAGAGACGCTCCCTTCTGTCATATATACATAGTTCCATGGTTTCAATACTTAAAGGTGTTTTAAACTTTGGGAAATAACATTGACGTCCAAGATTTTCTGGTCGCGACTGTAGTTTTCTTTAGTGGCGTTTAAGCTAAATAGTTATAGGTGAGAACTATTTACAGAAAAAACATCAAAGAAAAAAATAATATAACATTTAAAGCTGACCAAATGTGGGTAATAATAATAATATACATATATTTGGAATGTACAGTATGCCAAAGAACTATCATCTTGTTAGAGACGTGTTGTTTTTTTTTTTTGGCAAATAATATCACAACACATTTATTAAAAACAGTAGTGCAATAGAAAGTGTAAATTAAATCCAGCAATTTTGACAAGACGGGGCGATTTTTTTTGACATACCTGTTCACACATGATTCAATTTTATACTTCTATGACTAGATCAGTTTCATAAGCAGATCGGAGAAGACAAGTGTAAAGTTAAGCAATTCATAATGTATACGATTATGGTTTGAAACCAGTTTTTTCTTATCAAACTCACATATTACTCGGTTATTGAGTAGTTTTTTCTTTTGGCAATTTTTGACAACTCAGATTATACAAATACGATAGTTAAACATGTTTTCCACTTTGTTTAACTTGTTTGATCACACGTATCCACAAAACCGGTTACTCTTAATTTTACAACACAAGAACCGCTGCATTTTTGTTAAAATATATGAATAACAGAATTTGACACTGAGTGTCCTCGTGAATTTCATAAATCATAGGATAAATTTAAAGCATGCATCGTTAAACACCAATTGTGTAATTTGAAAATCTACAGTAATACTAAATACGTGTTGAAGGGAGTGTCTAAAGAAACATTTCTGTAAAATGTGGTACCTATGTGAAAGTAATTTTTAATTGTCACCTTTTTTGAAAAAAATTTGAATAATCACTTAAGGGATTAAGGTTTCGATCATTTTTTACAAAATACATAACTTATTGTTAAAAGTAGTGATATATAATTAAATTTCAGTATTATTTCAATCATTAATTAATCCATCAATTGCATAGTAACTGCCTGAAAACAAGGCAAACCACGCCAATATAGAAACCAGAATGTTCTTCCATAACCTCCACTTCATAACTCCAAAATCTCCAGTATCTCCTAAATTCAAAATAGTATCAATAACAACCGGAATAAAAAGTCCAAGTGTGGAGAAAAATATTGATCCTACTAGAGATATAATGGCATCAAGTTTTGGAACAGCAGCACCGATAGCAACAATAAAAATCACTAATATTATCCTTAAAATAATCTGACCAATATTATGGAACTTTTCTGGAATTTTAGAAGATATTTTCCTCCAAGTTATATCACATGGTACGTAGAATTGCAACATGAACGTGAAGAAAACAGCAACGGCAATGCACATCTTTGCAATTTGGGCAGGTCTGTAACAATTATGGTTAATTTAAAATCAAACTAAGTGAAAACAACCAACTTACATTTCTTCATCTGGTAAATTGGCAATTACGTTGGCCTCTAGGGCATCCCCAAATCTAAGGTAACCGAAGAGACCGATGACAGTGTAAAGAGTCACAACAGCACTCATGGCAATATTAAGAACGCCAGGGCAACCCAGGAACTGTTGTTTAACCATCGAATTTTCAATGGGTAACATGGTCCCAATGCCTTCCATAGCAAAAAGTACAGTACTGAAGAATAAAGGAATTAAAGAAACGTCGTTGAAAAGTTTTCTGTCCTCAATGTCGATATCACCAATTCCAGCAAACATATAGTACAGGGTGATACCAAAAGCTATGATCATAGTTGTATTTGCGATTATGGAGAACGGAACTAAGTGTTTTAGTTCTCGAACTTGGCAGCAGATAGCTAGAGGGACTAAAAGCATTAGCATATAATACTGTATGGCCCAGTCTTTCACAGATGGGTGATAATAATTAACCAGCTAAAAAAGTGTAAATAGTGAAAAATTAAAAGAATCATGATAAAATTTACGTCTTGGATGTTTTCACAGATGAACACAACGTAGACTGCACAGCCAGCGTAGTAGGTTAAGAGTAAAGCTACATCCACAAATATTCTAAAAATAATAATAAATACATGATAAAATTAAAAAAAATCAATTCATCGGTTAAAATTAGTTTTAAGATTTTAAGACCACCTACTGAAATTATAGTTTTCTGGCTACTATTAGAAAATATAATACCATCAAAAAATATAAAATATCACATGCTTTTGTTAATCCTCAAATTAAATTAACATGGTATTTGAAATACTTTAATAATACACAATGTAAAATATCATCGTGTCGTTCTTTTTTAAAAATTAGATTACAATAAGATTAAAAACGCCTGAATTATGAAATTTTTTCATTAATAAATCCATTTTTATCTAATACATTACACTATAACCTCAGGTAGCTTTGAAAAAATGACACCAAACCAACTGTCAAACATTTTGTAGATTTAGAAGTTATTTCCTATCTGTGTGGTTAAAAATGAGCACAGGAAAGGGTATTGATGAAAAAAATCGTTCAATTATTATTAGATTTTGGGAAATTAAATTCGAAAATTTCAGATTTGTTAGAATGATCACAATGTAGTATGTTATGCCAGATAAAAAAACTCGTACACTTGAACTTTTTATGATTACTTGCAACTGGTCGAACTTTTGTAAAAAATATTCCAAAAAGCAAATCATTAATGTATTCATTAATAGAAAATATAACTTTATTCTAGAACATGTGGAATCAGAAAAAAGTAAAAAAAGTTGTAACACTAAACATTAGCGTAAATTTACAAATATTCAAGTGTCCGGGTTTTTTTTGTCAGGCAGTGTATATATATAGTCTTTTCCAAAAAATTTCGGGCCAGATGAACAAATCAGGTTCTCAAAGATGAATGAAAAGCAATGGGAATAAGACTTCATGTCAATGTCATTTGCCCGAAATTTTTTGGAATCTGATTCTGCCAAATTTAAAACCACGGGTGGAATATTGTACACGGGTGAAAAAAATTGCTGTTAGTCATTTCTAGCGATCTGGAATCCCTAATAAATAAACAGTCATACACTAATACCGCATAGAAAATATCAAATCGAGTAATAATTTGGAATAGTTTATTTTCTATTGTATTTTTTGTAGTTATAAAAGCACTTGAGGATGCACAAATATGAAGGATTTATGGATCAGAAACATGATTTACAAATCATAGCAGTTTCAGTACAAACACAAAAGTTATTATTTTTGAAGTATAAAAACCAGCGGTGGTAGAAAAATTGTTTAAAGGGTTGTAAAACAAACATAAAATATTTATTAAGGGGTTACTATTACAAATTTTGAAAATGGCCCCTATTTTGTTGAATACAAATTTGAGTGCGTCGTCCTAATGACGCTGTGATAGATTTTAAGAACATGATGACTGACTTGTCGAATGCTTAAATATTTAATCGTTCCGTGGAACGACATTTTGGCCAGGATTTTGTCCTAAATCAAATTTATTTTGTTGCACTGTGCGGAATTCACATAATTTTCGATGTACAGTTGTGCCTCCCCAGAAGTGCACGATAATTTTCTCTATTGTAAATGTATCTTCAAATCATGGACGCTCGAATAATAAAATTTGTCAAATTTGAGAATTTGTTTATTCAAAAATGCTACGCCACTGGTAATGGCCAGACTTACATTAATTTAAAAATTAAAAAAATTCCATGACAACGAAAAATCGTGAACTTTTGGGAGGCCGCCGGCCGCAACTGTATTTGCACACATATGTTTCTGCGCACAATTCTTTTATATACCGGGTGTCTGGAAAATGGTGGATTAACTCTTCAATATGTTATATACGGGGGTTTCGGGGGCCCAAAAAAATAATAAAAAAATTCTTCATGATGTAGATTACGAAAAAAACGTAATTTTATAAAAGTACAATTGGCAACACTGCACACACCTAATGCGTGAATACCTCCAACTTACTTTTTGATTTCTTAGTAACGATGGTGACTGAAATCCACTGTCGCTTTATATCAGGCAAACATTGTTGTCAAATGGAATTTTATCAAATTATCACAAAAACAACACAGCCATATCTTTGTGTATTCTAACTGAAATGGTAACTAAACATGTCATGGGCGAGAAAAATATTAACTAAAAGTTTTATTACTAGTTATTGTGATAATGAATGCGTTGTTTAGTTGTTAAACGTAGCAAAAGAACCAATTTTAAAATCATTATAACTCCACCAAAATGTGAGAACGATTTTTTTATTATTTTTCCCAGACTCACCATTTGATGTTAAGGTGATGTTATCGGTTTAGTTTTCAGTGAATTTACAGTAGATTTTGTTTCACAAATATTAGACAACTAGTTGGAATCTGAACCCAATTTTTTTTTTTTACAATATCTTTGATATGCTATTAGTGTCCGGAACTTATAAAATTGGAGAAAAAATGACCTGTTTTGCTCTAATAAAATCGCAAATATGCTCAAAATCACGCTAATATTAGGTCCGACTGTGCCGACTATAGTTATAAAATTCACATTAAAGTAAGTCATGGACATTCTTTGAAGTGTTTACTATGATATTTCAAAAAGAAAAAAAAATGCCCGATTTGTAAAACTTCATAATTTTGATTTAAAACTGATCATGTTTGAAGCTTTATTTTATTCGTTCCATTTGCTGTCTTTTACTGCGGTCTCTCTCGGATCGGGGTATAACACCCACCGAACGTTCTTGGACCGATGGGATAATTTATTACTTCCGACATCTTTTCGGTGACAAATTTAATCTTTGCATAAATTTACTTCAGTGTAGTTAGTGAACTCGTTGTGACCATTGAAATATATAAAGAGTAAATTTTGAAATGGGACGAAAGTCGAAGATTCCACTTTCAAAGCCACGAAAAAGTCGAAAAAACTTTTATCAGAATTATTATGTCAAAAACCTACTAAAACTACAGACAAAAAATGCAGTTTAATCATCATTTGATTAGTTTTACTATTATTATGCTTTTATTTCTTAATTTCTGTACATATAAATATTATTGTTTTTTAGACCCGCCGCTGTTTTTATACACTTACATAAAGTGTAAGTCAATGTTACTAATAGAAATTTTATTATTGTTACTTTATATAATCACCAATCCTATTGTTTCTCGGCTTTTTGTCAAAGATCAAAGTGTATTACCTGAAAGAATTTTATTTTGTTGAATAAAAGATTACCATAAACCTTATAATTAGCCGGATAACCATTCAGTATACACAGGTAGTTTCTATACCTCTTTAGTTTGAACTTAGCCGATACCAACCAGCTAGGGAACAGTTATAATTGAAATATGTAGGTAAACCAAATAATTGAAGTACTTAGTTTTAAGTAAAACAATTGGGTATATTTATAAATACGCATAAATAAAAACGAAACAAATTTATTGGTCTCTAGTTTATTTTATAATTTGCGTTACATCATGACATATAGGTACGTACTGATGCAGAAATTGGTGATTTTCTCGTTGCATTTTAGTATAGGGACACACTCTGTACAACCATTTGGACACTTAAAATGGATTTTGTTTTACTTGCCACAAATCTTTTTAAGTGTTGCGCAAGTGATTGTTTTGTGTCTGTCCGAAAAATAAATGCATTTATAATTTTTCGGCTGAGTGCTTTTTTGTTGTAAATCAATCAGTTTCCCTATTAGATTATAATTCCTTGGACTTACTATTTGTTGTCGTAATTTTTCGAAGTTCATTTTTGTACACATTCAGATTTTTATTTCTTATTAATTTCTTGTGGTCATTTTTATAAATTCGTATATGAAAATTGAACTGTTGACGAACGAAAATCGAACAATAATACACGACAAGCCGGTGCCGAACTGTTACCAGAGATTATGGGTGTCATAAATTACACCCCAGCTTTCCTGAGTTTCAACCAGCTCACCACTACTTCTCGTCTTTATTTTTCTACACGCAAACTTCTTGTGAAGACAATAACACGGCAAAATTAAAAATCCGATAGTTTTCTTTTAGCAAACATCCCCTTAAGAGCGCAGCGGAGAGTTAATCCGCCATTTTCCAGACACCCGGTATAACGTCCAACAGCAGCGCGATTCTTTTCTCGCACCTCACCATAAACTAGATACATTTCCGCATATTCTTGGTCCGCAAAAGTAACAGGCATTCTTCAGGTAAATCTATGACACGACGCCACTGCGTAAAGTTCAGTGCCAGTTATGACAATTAACGAAAATTGTTTTGCGATGTCCCTTGATTCTTAAGTTTCAAAAGGTATATTAAAAACAAAATTCAGAACTGGTCCGTTTTAGACTACTTTATCTTTGCTAAATAGGAACGTACAAAATAGTATATTATTAACCATGGTTGTGAAGACAATCATTCTAGACCAAAGGCAAATTATAAACCGAGACGTGCAGCGTCATGGCAGCGTCGAGGGCTCTAAAGTGCGAGGTCTAGAATTAGCTTTATAAACGTGGTTAATATGCTATATTGTGAGCCTTCAATTTTTTGATGCAAAATGATTTTGTTTTGAATTGTCATCTGTAGAGAGCGGATTTTATGAAATGTGCATATCTGTTATTTTTTGCATATAAGTGTTTATATTTAATATGTGCACGAATCATGCTAATTAAAAATGAATACAGCTATAAAAAAATTGCATATTTGCATATATTTGCCTTCTGCTGCATATTTCACTTAACGGGTGCATATTTTGCATTTTTATCAATTTTTGTGCTAATTTGAAAAAAAAATTGTCGTTCTATCTAATTTCATGAATCATATTGCAAATATTGTCCTGAGCTTCAAATAACTAGTAAAGGTTTGGGTTTTATGGTAGTTTGGAGAAACCACCGGGTGTTAAGCCATTTTTCCAGGTAAATCCGGGCTCTAATTACTTTTAGAAATACCGTTGATTCCCAATATTTTTGTTCGTTATTATTGTTATTCGTGTATTAATGGTATGTTTTATGGTGTTCGAAGGGACGTTACCCTAATATTTTTCATTGTGAGTTTCCATTGAAAGCATTTAAAGCGATACAGGTGTGTCAATATGTCGACGATAACTCT